CGTCTTCAACAGGTTCGATTCCAACGGTCGGCAGTCTTTGTCTCAACCACGAATTCCATTGAGCGAGGAATTTACAACGCATTGCTTCAGACTGGGGTTACTCAATCGGTAAGAATTGTGAGGTTTCGGATTCGCGCTCTAGTCAGAGTCACTCGCCTTTCTTCCTTCCAGGGTTGATAAATGAATACCACTCTGTGAAAAGGAAATAAGAAAATACTACAGACTATACTTTTCACTTAGCTGCTGCGAACTCTGCCTTAAAAGGAAGCGCTCGAGATTGATGGCGTGATCAAATGGAAACCGGTACCCTGACCATTAACTTAAGAAGTATAAGGATGCCAGAATGGCTTTATCGTGGAAGTGTAAGATGAGTGTCGTCTTTCAGTGGTTGCAAATTTTCCTTTTACTTCGTTTTACGTCTGGTTTTGAAACAGAGTGAATGTGTAAAACAGCACCCATTCGGAACGGCCCCTCTAGTCCTGTATGACAGTTTAGAACGGAATAGAGATCAAGTCGACCAGATTTCGCTGCCCTACCGTTCTTTAATCATCATGAAAGACACGAGGCGAAGAGAGGCCAATGGTTTGTATGTTAATTTTAAGTTTCGGTATGGTTTCCATACCATTCAAATGTAAACAGAATCGTATAAATCGAAGATTGGTTGGACCTTCCTACTTTGTGAGTCCTAAAGCCCGTTTGATCGAGACGGTTGCCTATATCCTTAAACTAGCATATCAGGTATATTGTAGAACGGAAATAAAATTCATTGTGGAAAGACGCCTCAGAATAGTTGATACCGCCTATCAATTTTTGGCTGTAAGAAGAGCAGGCTCACCATAATCATTGTTCTATTGTTCCGTGTTCGTTATCAGAAGGTTTTGAAGAGAAAAGAGCCTCATTACGCATACGCTTTTTTAACTTAAAGGTAGTGACTATATTTTACATTACTTTTGTCTAATTCTTATAGCTGTTCCCTCTGAACATTTCTGCAACTCAGTGTCTACCTTTCTTTTTACTTCGTCTTAGATCTGAATGTAGCAGCATCAGAATCTTTTACTATTTGTTTTTATTTTCGGCACTTGAGGTCACAAAAATGGTCGTCGGTTGATTTTGCATTTCTTATCTGAATAGAATTCACATGCAGTTGAAACGATCGTGGCCTTCCTCCTCCACCCATTTTAGGTCATTCATCATACGTTGTTGCTGCTGCTTTTGATTTTGTATTGAACGAGTTATTTTTAATCTCTGAATGCTTCGTAATTAGGTTGCACATACCGTACCTGCGAATCATTTCGCTCCTTTACCTCATAACTAGTAGTTAGCAAGTTAGTGATTTTTATAAACTGTTTTACTTGACTTCAGTGCCAGCTTTCCGTTTACTTCCGTCTTACGAAACTTTCTTCTCTATACGTTTATTGTGTACAGTTGTAGATGTTGTTGGCGGCTGTTCCGGCGGAAGAAGGAGATGTCGTCACGGGTTATTTTCATTTCGCACGAGCAGAAACTCAGGTTCTCGCCGAACGTCGTCCGTAATCAGAAGTACAACGTGTTCACGTTCATACCGTGCGTGTTATTCGAGCAGTTCAAACAGTTCTTGAACTTCTATTTTTTGATTATGGCAGTGTCACAGTTCATCCCTGCCATCCGTGTGGGTTACTTGTCCACCTACTGGGGTCCATTAGTATGTTAGTGCTAACATCAGTTGGTTTCTGTTTTACGTGATTCAATTTAAGACATTTGTCATATTCGTTACTCTTTGTCGCGAGGGCTTCGACGATTTTCGCCGCCATATACGCGATCGTGAAGTGAACAGCTGCCGGTACGAAAAGCTGACGGCAACCGATCGGCGCAAGGTGAAAAGCTCGCAGCTGCAAGTCGGCGACCTCATTGTAGTACATAAAGTATGTTTTCGTTTTTTAATAACTTTCTGAAGTTCTGTTCTTGAAAATCATGAGAAAATGAATACAAAAAAAATATTTTTGCCGCTGGATGGCAAATTCTGTCGTGAAAGGAAGAACCATTAGAATCTTTCGAAAACTTTCGCCAACTCATTGGTTCATAATCGTTTGAGCTTGGTAATGTTGCAATGCTTTTCTCACTGTTTTTCTTTATGATATAATAAAACTTACGCTCCATTAATTGATGCTATAAAACTGATTCGTGATTAGCCTTGAAGTGTTACGCTGCGTCCAAATATTTTGCACTGAACAAAGAGTTCCTTGTTAACTCGAAGCTTAAGTTGTTAACCCGTGTATTAATGTATTCAAATTTTTGATGATTCAGTAGCGAATGTCATCGATCGTCACGTCTGTTTTGATGGTCGGTCAAAATATGCATTTTCTGTATTAATCCTACTTCTAGGCATTCGGAGTATCAGTAATTTTTTGACTGCTATTACCAAGAAATGGGTGCATACATCACGCACATCAATCGAGGTTGAAACCGGCTATGATTGCTCTGTGTTTATCTGTTTGCCTTCCACTGTGTAATTTACAACTGTGCCTATAATCAAGAATCTGTTTCTCAGTCGGTCTTCACTGCGGCTGTGCTTGTAAAATTAGTTTGTCGTGAAGGATACGGTAATTATTTCTATTATAAGTGCAGTGTTTTAATTGTTTTTAGGTTGTCTCACATATGCCCTTTTTGTAGAATCAAAGAGTTCCGGCAGATATGGTTCTTCTTAGAACATCCGAAAAATCAGGTACATGCTTCATTCGCACGGACCAGCTGGATGGTGAAACTGACTGGAAGCTCAAAGTAGCCTATCCGGCATCTCAGCACCTTGACGATGATACGGTAAATTCTTCTTAAATTTTCGTTTTATTTTCTCTTATTGATCCTATTCTTTCTTTCAGTTCTTTTCTTTTTGCACTCAGTTTTATACAATAGGTGCTCATACTGAATGCCTTATACACAAGTTCGTTGTGTCCGTTATTACGTGTGACTTCTAGATTTATTCTTTACCGGGGACCGAATATATAAGTGGAATATTAGAGTTAATAACAGTGTAGTCCATGAGTAATATTGTGCTACGTGTTGACCGAATATCTGAAAAGTGACGGAGTTGTCACTGTTATTGAAAAAATGAGAATTAAATATGCTCACCATGGCACGAGCGGTACTGCTAGTTGCTTTGCTCAGCAGCAGAAGGTGCGCGCACAGTGCTGATGCTCAGGAGAAGGAATTACGCATGCGCAAATACATCACCGAGCATACATGCAATTAAAAGAAAGACGTGCAAAAACTTTGAAAGCAAACGAGTCTGTAAATCGTGCAGCAAACTTGTCTTCTCTGTGCTGTGGAAGAACATGGCACAGTCACGATGAGAAAGTTAGCTTCGTTGGTGCACAAGTCAGTCATAAATGATGCATTTGCTGTCCAGATCAATAGCGTATACGAATCCCGATTGGGAACCCTTCGCGCTTTCCATATGGTTTATTTTCTCGTATAGCTGCTCACCGGATTCATCACACGCTGAATACAGCTTAAAGCTGTATGCATACCTAGATTGTCAGAGCATATAGGTTCGACTTGGCGGCTTGCTAATTGCCTACACTGACAAATTGACGTGCATGAATACGTTCTTTTTTGAAACAGATCACTGAAAACAACAAAAGCGCGATTAATCCATACACAGCGTAGGAACATTGGTCATTAAGGTGATTAATCAGTTCCGAATTTCGACTCTCATGAGTCCCTATCAGGGTGGAGAGGGTTGAGGGTCAGACAAGAGACGAAAAGTTGGTATTAGTTGATCATCCTATCGATCAATTTGCTTGTGTTGTATATGAATGAACTGTGCTTTTATACTGTTTTCAGTTTTCGTTACGCACGAACAAAATACTGCGTCTTCTGAAATTAATTACTCTAAGTCTGTTTCAGTCTATGCAGATAAGTAAAATGTACAATTATACTGGGTATGCAAAGATCAGCTTACATGATTCACTTGCTGTGTTTGAGTTTAAGCTTAGGATTCTTGTTATTTTGTCATCGTCAGCCCAGGTTAACAGAGCTCAAACAACAAAGTAATCCAATGATTTACGATCTCTGGCCGTTACGAATCGTACTTCAGAATGATTTCAGACAAAGTTCATTGCTGCGTCACAGGGCATATTTTTTTACACTAGATCTGCTGTGACATGGTTTTTCTACGTTTTTTATTGTCTTCTAACGCATCTGTGGCCAGTGGAAAATTCTCAAGGCAAAAAGATTTTGAAAATATTTCTATATTCCTTTTGGACCAATTAATCGAAGCAAAGCAAGCGCCAGTCTCTTGCTTCATGCGATAGTTTTCTTAGGCGAGTGGTCATCAGCACCTTGTTGTTGTCATCATCGTTATGTCGAGTATATGGGTTAAGGACAGAGTAACCAGATTAATGATGTTTGTCGTTCTGTTGTTATCAGCAGCGAAACATTCGTGACTCCTCGGTGCCATCGCATATGACACTGTTGGAATCCGTCTAAACGCGCTTTATGACGCTTCAGAAGGCATAAGTTTGTGACTGTACGGGAGAACGGGAGAACTTGAAGTACGGCTGTTTTGAGAAAGGTTATCTACGTGCCCATTCTTTTAGATCGATGCTTTCACGCCATACAGCTTGCCAAAATTCGCTGGTGCAAGATTAATTCGCAGATTCAATTCAGAATCAGGCTTACGCTTAGATCAATATGGCGGATCTTAAGCGTAGTCACATTAAGTAAATTCGTTTAATGGACAAAATTTGCACATATCTATTAGTTGTATTTGCATTGGCTGAAACAGAAACAGAATTTTGTATCTGCTGAATAATGTCAAAAATTTGAAAAATTAGTTTTCACACCTGCCTTGTCGCTGCATACTTTCGACGGCGAGTTTTTGTTTTTGTGCTCTTGAGAGAGTGACATTTGACTACCAGGTAAAATGTTCTGACAAGACGATCTGTTATGGCACCAATTCTATAACAACTTATTCTCGAGACGGATTTTGACATCGTTTCCACTTCTTTTCTACATGAACACCGAACCATTAGTTTCTTTCATGAGAAAAAACTTTCAGTCGATAAATTTTTTATTTATCCGCTGAACCTCATCCACTAGTACAGCGTGATAGTTAAAATAGGGATCATTATGTAATGCAGTATTAGCAGATTTTTAGGCAACCAAATACGCAGTCTAGAAACAACTGCTTCCCTCAAACTTATGCTCACGTTTACCACTGCTAGTAGCAACGTTGTTTACGAAGTGTGTTCAGATTTGGATTGTATGGCCGGATGATGAACAGACATGCCATCTGTCAAATTAGACAAATTCATTAGCCTGTTCCTTGTTTGGTTAGATAAAGAGGTCAAAACAACAAAAAAGGTTTGAAACTTTCTTCGTAACCTCCTTTTGGTCGCAGGCCCACGGTGATGGAGGGAGCAATATAAAACCTCAAAGCACATCATAACGACACTTGCACGCGGAATAAGTTTGCCTTTGTTTACGGTCAATTGTATTTAATTTGAATTTCGCACAGTTTCCTACCAATCTGAATCACTAACTTGCAGTTCTGTTGCTCAAACTTTGTTAGCCTCAGGCGGAGGGTGACATTGAGCTCCATTGTGCTTGTTGAAATATGCCAGTATTTTGCAGTACGATGGACAGATTACATGTAAGTACAATAGTTCTTTGAACAGAAAAATGTGAGCTGTCCAGACATTGTCAATCTGCATAACTATACTATTCAAGCTTTCGTGGCCTTACAAGTTGCCAGCAAAAACAGCTTCAGCTTCAAATGACTTGATTCGCTGCCTGTTTCTGTGAAACGTTTCTGGTCGTTTCTCGAAGACCGCTGATCTTTTGCTTGGGTATTACTGCTATGATTTAAAGTAAGAAGTTGGAGACAGAAAAGGAGATCGTTGTTATTTAGCGTGTTTGGATTTATTATTTTATTGTTTCGATTGCATGAATGCATTTGGTGCACTTGTATCATAAATCTTTTGTATATTAAATATTAATTAGTTAAAGACGTTTCAGAAGCTATTCAGCCTGAATCTGCAACTTTACGCCGATAAACCGCAGCAGGATATTCACAGCTTCTTCGGCACCATCAAATATGTGAGCATGATATTCTTGTTCAGCGATTTTTTGCGTTATCCCCGTCTTTTAGAC